CCCCAGAATACTTAGGGATGTTGGTAGGTGGTCGATACCTTGGCGGGAACGTAGCGTTGAGGATGTGCCGGCCAAAGGCCTGAGGGCCTGACAGGCTAGGGCTCGGGCTCCGGTCCTTGCCGCTGTCATAGTGTTCGCCGCGTCGAGGATGATAGCCACGGCGGGCTCTTTCCCTTGGGTCGCCGTAGGTGCGCCTGCGGGGGTCAATGGTGCAGCGTGCGTCGCGGTCGCGGCCGAGACGCTGATGTATCTGGGTCGCAATGCGCTGCCCGCCGCCTTGTGGTGTCTGGTGGACTGATGCGTCCCTGGCGAGACATACCGAGGGCGTACGCTAGCTGGTGTTGAGCTCGCGTCGTCGAGACAACGAGCTTTCCGCCTGCTGCGCCGCCGCACGCTCGAGCAGCGTGCGGATTTTGCGGTGGGCCCGACGATCCTCGAGTGTTGCGGTCTCTGGAAGGCCATGGAGCAAGGCCGTGGCGGCGGCGATGTTCTGGCTCGCCCGAGCGAAGCGAGGAAGGGTTTCACCGTCGATGATGATCCTTCGGTTCACGTCGCGGGCCACGGCGCGTGCGTGCCCACCGTCTCTGCGACGTTCGATCTCCCGATCCACCAACGCGTATTCCCGAACAAGCTGTTGTCTGGCCTCGTTGATCTCCCATTTTCGGGCTTTTAGCTGCTCCACCCCTACGTGGGACGGGGCCGCCGTTCTTCCTTCGGTTCCATCGCCGAGGTTGCCCGCCGAGGTGACCTCCTTCTTGAAGGCGCTCTCGATGTGTCCCTCGGAGGTTTCCGCCATGAAGCATTCCTGGGAGGGATGATGGCTCCCCCTACCGGAGTCAGAGCCAGAGTCCGACCCTAGACCCTCCGCGAGGAGGCTGTGGAGGGATTCTGTCACGTGTTCGATCACCCCCACGAACTCATTGTCCGCCGAGGGCCGAACCATGTGTTGTGCCACAAGGTGGCTAGCGGCCGTCGTGGTGTTGTGGAGGCCGAACGGAAACACTGTCGGGGCGCTCCATACGTGGTGTTCCGGAGAGAGGAGTCCTTCTCCGAAAGACTGCGCCATGTTGTCGTTGGAAAGGACGAGGCGACGCTGGTCCTCCCTGGACTACTGGGGTCCAAGGGAGACGCTGAGCCGGCGCCCAGGCCCCTCATAGTTGAAGCCGATGGAGGGGAGAGATTGGATGGCGACGTGAGCCTAAGCCAACTCTCCTCCCACCGTAACGATGAAGTCTAGGCTCCCGAAATGCATGTGTGCGCCTAGGACCCAGCTGTTATCGTGGTTAGCCATCCATGGCCTATTTGTGGAACACGCAAAGGCCCCTACCGTGCGGCCAACTGTCGGTGTTTCGAATCAACAACAACTAGTAAATTTATATTTGTGCACGTTAGGCTTGGATGGTGCGCTAAAGGACACAAGGTTTATACTGGTTCGGATCGAATGTCCTTATGTCTAGTCTATTGCTGCTAGTGTTATTAGCACCAAAAATAGTTCATAGTAGGGGGTACAAATGGTCGAGAGATGGACTGGTCCCAAGTCTCTGATGGAATGGTTGAAAGGATGCCAAGAGCTCGGTGGCAGCTCAGCTGTATGTGATGCGTACTGTCGAGTTGTGTCAATCGATCTCTCTGCCAGTTTCATCCATCCCTTTAGCGGGGTGTCCTACCCTCCCTTTTATAGACCAAGGGGAGCAGGGGTTACATGTTGGAGAAAGGAGAAAAACCAGAGGCCAAGAAGCCCCTCCAAAGGCATTGGGCCCTCCTTTTTTGCTGAGCCAGCCTCGCTGACACGGCCAGATGAAGTCAGGGATTGGCACGTTCGCCAGATGCCTGTGTGCTGACGACGCCATGCCCTTACCGGATCAACAAGTGGTCACGTCCCGTCCCGCCCCTTCGGGCGGCGTGTCGGACAAGGGTGTTGACCAGTAGCCCTGTGGGGAGCAGACGGCGCGGTGACTGTGCGTTCGTCACTATAGAGGGCGCGAGTCTCTTCTTGGACCGTAGTGGTTGTCGTATGTCTATGTCAGGTTCCGCGTCCGAGGGCTAAAGGCGGCGCCTACAACACTATTCGGACTCTGCCATGCCCGGAATGACCTAAAGCGCCCGTCCTATCGTACCCTGACGGTACTTTCCTGCAGCGGTGTAGGGCATAGTCCTTGGTACTATGTTTGACTTGAATGTCCTGTCGTACCTTGTGCTCGTCATTATGAAGGAGCAGGGTGTAATCGTTGGGCGAGGCGGACTCTGCCCCCGGCCGTCGGGTAAGGCGGAGCCTGTCCTCAGCCATCGGGCGAGGCGGGGCCGCCCTTGGACGTCGGACGAGGCGGAGCCCGCCCTCGGGGGTCGGTGAGGCGGAGCCAGCCCCGAGCCGTCGGGCGAGGCGGAACCTGCCCTCGGACGTCGGGCGAGGCGGAGCCAACCCTCGGCGGTCGGGCGAGGCGGAGCCAGCCCCCGGTGGTCGGATGAGGCGGAACCAGTCTTCCGTCGTTCGGACAAGAAACGCAGTAGCGTTCTTGTCTGATCGAAAGTATCAACGTTCGATGGTCATTGGTTCCACCTCATTAGATACCCTCGGTATCAGGTCCCCGACACCTCCCTTCTCGCCTCCCTCTCTACCTGCCCCAAGCTTCTTCTCGGCCTTGGTCAAGGTAATGATGGTCTTATTTGTTGTTTGAATGGTGAATTCAAAGATTAGGATTGGTAGCTACGGTTTGGAGAAAAAGTATATTTGGGAACTATGGGTAGCTAGGGTTTGGAGAAAAATATTAGTTCCATTTTGTTAATGTTAAGGTTAATTGGTTAGTTAGAATATTGTTTACTATGTTTAGTGTTTGATAATTTTTTATTCGTAAGTGTAGATTATATTTTCTTAGTTTTAATGCAAATGGTTCTCCTTTACATTAATTTGTGATGTTTTGATTGGTATTAAATTACAACCGTTTTGTTAGATGCAAGACATATATCGGGAGGAGTTTTGACGAAAACGGGGTCGTCCTAGAGAATTATAGGGAGGAGTTTTGACGAAAACGGGGTCGTCCTAGAGAATTATACCCCGACGCGTCTAGCAAAGATGTACCAGTCCCTCTTGACCTCTCTGTCCCTAGCTGTGACTGTGGTTTCGCGGCCCACATGTTTCAATCGAGACATCTAGACACAACTGCGCGTTGTTTCTACACATGCAGACGTTTTAATGTGGTAATTGCTTCCTTATCTTTTTTTTCTTCATTTGTGTTAGTAATTTACTAATATTTTGTTGGAATCTTGTTGTGTAGGACCATGAGAGGTGCTAAAATTCGCATGAACACGGGAATTTTCCCCAGTTTCTGTGTTTTTTCGTATGAAATTGAACTGATTTTCTATAAAATTTCTATGCGATTGTAAAATTTCTACATTCCAAGCAGGTCATTCCAAACATGGCCTTAAGACGCAAGTGCGCACATAAATTGTTATTTAAGACTCCAAACGCTAGGCTTTTGCTTTTGGACAACAGTAACGTAGACATACAAGCATGTTAGCATGAGACAATATACACATTGTTATTGATGGTCTCCAAACTCCTAACACACTAAGCACTCTCCCTCAATGCTATGATTTCAAAGTCTAAACCCACACTCCTAACACGAACATGGATGTGATTTCTAGCAAACATGCGACATCAAGTAACTAAGAACGTCTCCGAGAGCCACTCTGAATCATTTGAATAAAAATTGCCAGGTGCATTCACGTTGTGAAAGTGGAGTTTTAATACTTGGGACAATGTTTTTGATACCATAGAAACATATTTTACTGTTGTGGGAATGGTTGACAATGTGTAACTTGATTTTACGCTTACGGAATGAGTTTTATTGTTGCAAGTTGAGACTTTGTGGTTGCGAGATTGGGAAGGGCTGGCGTGTGGAATATTATTTTAAGCGCTACATGTTGAATAGTTTTGTCATATATATATAATAATCAGTGACATGACTAACTCTCCATCGTAAATATGAGATACTGTGGTAAATATTTGAACGTCTTCGATTATCGGTTAGGCTCGAGGGATATGGTGCTAAATAAGTATTGATCTTTTAGACATAAAAGTACTAAAAATGTTAATGTAGCTATTATTGTTAGATGTAATGAAGAATTAATCTCACATGCAAATTTGGTTGGAGATTGATTCAATTTAAACGGGTGCCCATCATGTTTACTACTTGTGAGGTTAACAAAGATAGAAAAACAAGCCATATGGTAGCATATGCGCTGAGTCGCGATATGAATAAGCTCAGACTTGACCGGCTAAACCATGACATGAGTGATACATATTATAATCGACGTCTTGTAAGAAGATGATATAGCCAGCCCTGATAGGAATGAAAGCAAGAAGGGTGGGATTAAGAGGTGATGGACTGATAGATGAAAGAAAATGTCATGAACACGAGTAGAACTAAAAAGGGCGGGAATGAGGGGCAATGAAATGAGGAACGGAAGAAATTTACCCTTTAACACTACGTTAGAACCATCCAAGGTATCGACTTGACTCTATCGGCTCAATTTTTTTGTGGTGCTTATAGAGACAGAGTGTGTGTATATATGTACTTATAAGAGTGAATGTATATATTCATGTATTTGTATTATGATTAAAAAATTATAAAAAATAAAAACTGTCAAAAACTATAAAAATAATGAAAAGAACCACCACACAAAATAGAAAAACACAAAGGAGAAAGCAAAGAAAAGAAAAGGAAAGGAGAGGGAGAGGGAGAGGGAGAGGAAGCGAGCGGCCGAGCGCCCCAAGCCCCACAGGCGCAGCGAGCCCCACGATAACACAACTTTCCCACCTCCGCCACCGCCACCGCCACCGCCACCCACGGCCCGGCCCCGCCTCCGCCGCATTGCCGCGCGCTGCCGGCCGGCACTCGCCGTCCTGACGCGAGAGGGAAGAGGCTCCAGGAAGCGGGGGTGCTGGCTAGGGGCAGCCTGTGTCCCGCCGTGGGATCGGAGGAAGAGGCCGGGAGGTGGGCATGTGCGATCTGGTGGCCCGCACGGGCCGGCACCTGCAGCGCTACGAGAACGGCCATCGCCTTGTGGCCGAGTGCGTCCGTTGGCGGGGAGCCCCCCTTCCCCACCCCCAACCACCACAACTCTCCTCCCTCTCTACCTTCTCGCATCCCCACCGCCAAAGAAATGAAGCATTTTTATCTGCCTTCGATTCGATCTGATTGGGTCAGTTCGGTTGCGCTGCTTGCTTGGTTGGGCAGCTTAAAGGTTTGCTATGCTTGGATCGTTTTGGTTAGCAGCTGGAATGGATGCATGTGGCCTTGTTGGGCTCCGATTATCCCCGTGTTGTACTGCTGCTTCTATTGGGAGTAGGGTCGACCTCTCTGGCTGGCTAATTGTCCTAGGATGGTCATAATCGGTGGATAGTAGCCTCTTTGTGTGTCATTAGTCATTAGTACATTAGTTTCTTGGCAGCTTACCATGTAAGGGACCATTCGCCACTTGTTTACCATTTTATTCTTCGCTACTTGTGGACTACTAAATTTCATGTCATCACAAGGTACTGTCAGCATAAGGGACATGTGTTTTGTCCAAAATTGCGCTATTGTAGAAGGAATCGCTTGTGGACTGATGGGACTATCAGAAGTAGTTGTGTAGAAGAGTCCATTAGACATTGGATAATGTAGGCATATATTCCCTGTAGTGGATTCTTATTCTAGGTTGGCACAATCGGATTAGTTTTATGCTTGGCATGAGCTCAGTATGTCATGTTCCGTCCTTCTAGGTCGGTTTTATTTAAAATTCTGCAGTAAATTTTAGGAACGAAGGTCATTCTTTCTTTTTCTTTTTCTTTTTTAATTTTGTGATGTACAAACAGTGTTGAAAGAAATAGATAGATTTCTAGATTAAAATACATAGATAGGTCCGCAACTTGAGCCAAATTGCAGGGATCAGTTAGACCATGGAAAGGACCCTGTAGTGTGTTGGCTGTTGGGAATTCCTGTTCCTATGTGTACAATTAGGTACTTTTATGAGTGGTTACATAAAAACAGGTAGAACAGATGTTTTGTCTTCTTGCTGCTTCATTGTTTGCTGACCATTAATGCAATGGCCAAATGTCGCTGTTGTTGTTACATTAATGTTTCCTGTTGGTGATGTGAGCATTCGTTGTTTTATACTTTTATTCTTTCAAGTGGCTATAGACTTAAGTGTGCAAATCTTTTGCAACACTAGTCCAATATTATACCAAGGTGTCTGGAAAACCATCACTTAGTTTATTCTGCTTGTATTGAACTCTGTTCTAATCTTACTCCTTGATACAAACATATGTTGCAGTCTACTGAGCACTGTAAACAAAGGACTTAAGTTTCTAGTTTCTACTGCTACGAAGTAATCAATGGTACCATCTTCTACAGTATATAGAAAGCATCTGTTTTTGCTTCAGCGAATGGTTATGCGTACACTGCACCAAGAAATATACCATGGGGGTTTTGCCAATACCTTTTAGTTGACTACGATTTGTGTATCTCTGTAATCTCGAGTCTTATGGTTGTAGGCCCAGTTTCTTGTAATAATGTGAATCTTGCAATGTGTTTTACTTGTCTCATGCTTCTTCCTTGTTTGTATATAGGTGCATACCATTCAGATATAGAGATATTAATGATGAAGCTTCTGATGATGAACAAAAGAAACTTGTTGAAGTTCTCATGATCAGCTCCCAAAGTGGACCAGGTCTTCTATTTCCAAAGGTACGATTAATGTAAATAAACAACTAAACATATATCACAAAGACATTCACATAATTGTATCAGTATGATGTACGGAAAATCAGAAATTTGAGTTTTTTTTTTTTTTGTGATTTAGCTTAACAAAATGGTTTATATGAAATTAGTTAGGCTATAGAGATTTTTCATCAGTTCTGTTGAGTATTTTTTTCTTTGGTATCATGCCCATATTACTGTGATTAACTAGATACTAAGAAAACAGGTGCCAATTTGCGGTCACTTAAGTCATTCAGGTATCGCTGGAAGATATCCAAGTGCCAACCTTATGATGCTCTTGCATTTCAACCTCTACATTTACCCATTTGTCAATATGTTGTACGCAGTTCTCTTATCACCATGATAGTGCCTATTTGGTTAATGATTTTTAATTTGTTGATGCAGGGAGGCTGGGAGAATGATGAAACTGTTGAAGAGGCAGCTGCAAGGGAAGCTATCGAAGAAGCTGGAGTTCGAGGAGATTTAGTGGTGAGACATTGTTTCTATGTTTTTATTTGATACAACATTAGGCCCCCTCCCACCCCCTAAAAAAAAGGAAAAAGAAAAGGTGTGTGGGGGTGGGTGGGGGTTAAGTGTATCCTTCCGTCATTTTCAAGACATAAATGGCATACCTTTTTATTGATATATGGCCTATTGCCTTTTTATGGAAAAATACATGCAAGAAAAACTTTGTGGAGGATCAGATCTTTTGAGTTAATTTGGAATCCTGCAAACAGTCTGGAGTCTAGAACTTAGTCTGGAGTCTTAAACTTTCACCTCTAACGGCTATGAATTTGTTACGATTTCTTCATAGTACACAACAAAATTTTATTGACACTACAGTACTAGCATGCTAATAATGGTTAAGAATTGATCTCAAATCTTAACTCTGAATTTTCAATGGACAGCTGGTATGTGTCCACTTTGGTAGATGCCTCTCCCATTTGTTGATATTGGTGATGCTAGTCCCCACTTGTTCTTTAACGGGAATTCAACACATTCAAATCGAGGACCATTGTCTTTAAGAACAAAGTGCCAAGGATAGCTTAGCTTATTAGCGTATAAGTCCTCTTGATTTCATTTGTTGTTTACTCCCTCAGTTCCAAATTGCAAGTCGTTTTGGCTTTTCTACATACATAGTTTTTACTATGTATTTAGACATAGCGTATATATAGGTGCATAGCAAAAGCTATGTACCTAGAAAAGCTAAAACGACTTACAATTTGGAACGGAGGGAGTAGTAGGCCACTAAATTTAGTAGAGGTTTTAGTGATATGTATATACCTTTTGATAATGATTCAGTTAATATCATTCTCGTGTGAAATCTTAATACTTTGCTGTGTAGCAATGATTAAGGTTTTTAAGTCTAGCTTCAGACAATAGACATTGTAGAATGACATCGATTAAGGCTAGAGGTAATAGCATTATTGCAGTTCGGTTGCCATAAATTGTGGGAGTTGACTAGTGGTTTAAGGGAGGATTTTGTTGTAGTTAACATGATCTAGACCTGAACCATGCTTTTATATCATGTTCTATCGTCTAATACTATATCAGTGCTTATTTCTCTATCTAGTTATGTTACTTCCGTATGTTGGTGCTGAAAATAGTTAGCAGTTATTTATACACAAACACACTCCAACCAATGAAACATGAATAATATCAAATAAAAATACGACGCTGATGAATTTATTTGGCATTTTGGAACTTGGATCATCAGTGAACTTTCTTGACCAATTTTATGTAGAAATGCATGCTAAGTTAAAAATTGTAGTTTTGCATTTGTAAAGCCACTTGCCTTCGTTTACGTGTCTGCATCCTAGGCTCCTATAGTCCTAGCAAGTCTAGGGCTCTAGGCAAATGTCATGTCTCCATCAATTCAGGTATTCCCTGAAGATATAACTGGAGTTCGATAGTTGTTTGTTTGACTTTTGACTTTCTGAGCATTGTTTTTATGCTCTTGCTAAAGAGCTCTTATTTGCTTTCATATGTCCTGATATCACATTTTACTGATTGGGCTACTTGTTCTGTGCATAAGCAACTGTTGGGCTTCTATGATTTTAAGAGCAAGCAACCCGAAGCTATGTGCAGAGCTGCAATCTTTGCCCTGCACGTGAAGGAAGAACTAGCCTCCTGGCCAGAACAGAACACCCGGCAGAGGAGCTGGCTCACTGTTCCTGAGGCGGCAGAGCAGAGTCGTTACCCATGGATGCAAGAAGCTCTTGTGACAGGCTTCTCTGCCTGGCTTGAGAACTGGAGAAATGGTGGTGGCTGTGTGGATCGAATTGAAAGATGACACCACCTTAAGCATCAGGGGGGTGGCATCTGCTATTTCTTGGTGTTCCCTTTGTATCTTGCTTGGACTAAATTTCCAGAACCTGACAATACATGAGGGCTCTCTGATGCTCAGTAGTTTGTTGACTTTGTTCCTTCACCCATCCTCAGGATAACAATCTAATCTGTGTCTTCAACTGACCCGAGGATTGTTGGAACTGTAAGTTGCTGATTCTCGCGGTCGCCAGCTATTTAACTCTTGTATCGAGCCTTGTCCATCATATGTGTCGTGTTGCCTTACTATGGGAGTGTGTTTGTAATGACAATATCGGAAGTACTCGTGGTGTTCAATTGCAACTCTCTGCTTACCCTCGGAATGTGTTCTTGGGAGCATGTCATGTGCAAGTACACAGAGGAGATGGAAATGTTAAGGTTTAAAATTTGAGAATTCCTATGTTGAAAGGTCTGTTTGGGGATTTTATTCCGTGGCCTTCGGATGTATTCCGCCAGGCATTTATGTCGAATGGATTTAACTGTAAAACTGAACCAAAAGAGAGAACGTGTGAATTTTCTGGAGTTACTGTTTAGATTTTTATTAAAAGTGATACTTGTGAGTAGCTTAATGAGCCGGTCAATTTGATTTTATAGAAAAAACAGAGCTCAGATGAGATGTGCGTGCTGTCTAGAATCAGACGGATGTGGTGGACCTAACTAATCACTTGTGCACAGATAAAGGCTTTTTTTGATACATTCATATACACATAAAAAAAAGGTCCACGTGTGTTGGAATATATTGGTCTGGTCGCATCCAAACGGGCCCCGGCGTCATTGCTGAAAAGGGGGTATTTTGGTGCTTACATGCTGAAATCGTACTTTCAAGAGCACAAGGCGGCTTGCATATGGGCTATTATGGCGGTTGGGGTTATGTGATCTGAACTGAAGTTGGTCAGGGTGCTACGTACAAGGCGTCGTGGGTCTATATACCAGTCCAATAAACCTCTGCTATGCGCCTGCACGTTTTTTTTATTATGGTATCCGCTTGCTCCTGTTTCGTCGGCCGCCCCACTGCTCCTGCTTTGCGGCCTGCTCCGCCGACGGTCACCCCGCGCTGCTCCTTCCCCCGCTCCACCGTGCCGCCCCGCTACTTCCTACCATTGCTTCTGCTCTGCAGCCCGCTTCGCCTGACGGCGGGCACCGCCACGCCGATGTGTGGCGACCGCTCCCTCGGCCGTCAGCTAGCCACTGAGGCCGCTGCGCAAGGAGAAGCGTCGGGCCCTGACGCGGAAGCCCTCCGTCCTCGCCTCCTGCTACGGCCGTGGCTAGGCCTGAACGAAAAACTCGTAACTCTCTGGCTTGCTCGACTCGCTCGTTAGTGGCTCGGCTCGAGCTCGGCTCGTTTGAATTTTTAAACAAGCTGAGTCAGCACTTTAGCTCGGTTAATTAACAAGCCAGCTCGATTCAGCTCGCGAGCCAAAACGAGCCAAGGTAAATCAGATGACAACAACTGGAATCAGCCCATATATGTCTGGTCCATTGGCCCAATATGATAAAACCCTAGCCCCCAACTCCCGCGCTCCCACCCCTAGGCCCTAGACTTCCCCCATCCGTCGTTTCCTCGCAGGCCTAACCACAAACACATGCACGCACGATGCATGTTGCAAATGTACATTTCAAATATTTCAGATGTTTTAATTTAGAGATATGTTGCAAGTGTTTTATAAGAATGTTGTAAAATTAGATTGGGATGTTGCGCATGTGCTACAAATAAACGTATGTTTCAAGTGTATGTTCCAAATATTTCATCTGTTTCAGACATCTGTTGCAAGTATTTGATGTTGTAAAACTAGATCGGGATATTGCATATATATGCAAGTGTTTCAAATGTTTTTATACATATATTGCAAGTGTTTCATTTTGATGTTTGCATATGTTTGCAATGGTTACACACGTGTTTTAAGTTTGTTCTAGTGTTTTGTAAGTGCTTTATACGTATGTTGCAATTATTTCAGCTGTTTCGGACGTATGTTGCAAGTGTTTCATCTGGATATTGCAAAAGTAGATCGGATGTTGCATATGTTGCAATGCACGTGAGAAGCGGAGGGGGCACGAGCGGTCCCTGCATGAGATTAGATTAGAAGTTTAACTGCCCATAGTTTTTGTATCTTGTTCTATTAGTTTTTGTCCATGTGTTTGTAAAAAAAAAAAGTAGATGTGATACAGAGATGCGCAAAACTTTTAGAGAGAGAAAAAAAGTAGATGTAAAATGACAGAAGTTCAGATGTAGGAGTAAGGGCAATCGCAGCCTATTGTTTCCAGAGTTCAGATGTAGAGGAGTATTTTGCTGATGTAGTGAGGGAATGAGAGAGAGAGAGAGAGAGAGAGAGAGACTATTGTTTCCAGAGTTCAGATGTAGAGGAGTATTTTGCTGATGTAGCGAGGGAATTCGCGAGCGAGAGAGAGTGAAATGATTGGTTGATGATTGGATGGATGCCTGGGCCAGACGTGTTTGTTATGTCGGGGAGCGAATAGCTTCGTGTGGCGAGGCAAGGCCTGAACATCATGCGTTTTGTGAAGCACTAAAAAGTAGTTTCGGTGGCATCTTGGACTATGGAAAACAAAAACAGTCATCATACGTTTTGTGAAGCACTAAAAAGTAGTTTCGGTGGCATCTTGACTATGGAAAACAAAAACAGTCGTAGTTTTGTGATTAGGACAGTTGTAGCGCACTAATTGTTTCATTAAATGGCACAAATTGCCGCACAATCAGTTTAACGGAATTAGATTTCTCTAAGCATAAATGTGGAACGAATGTACATTGTGAGCTTTGTTGAGTAGGTGGAACGAATGTGCAAAATCTAGTGTAAATTAAGGGGAAAAAACTTTTAAAGGTGAGCTCAGATGCGCGTCTTATCGTCTGTACGAATGTACATTGTGAGCTCTGTTGAGTAGGTGGAACGAATGTGCAAAATCTAGTGTAAATTAAGGGGGGAAAACTTTTAAAGGTGAGCTCAGATGCGCGTCTTATCGTCTGTAGAATCGTCTGATGGACCCAACCAATCACGGTGAGCGCAGAAATCTGTCATCGCTCTGGGGTGAGAGAGGCTCGAACTCTCGACACTCGCATTTCAGCTATGAGACCTACGCGCTAGCCAACCCGCACGAGACAGGCGTGGACAAGGACAAACATTTTTGCTCTCTTCATCCTTGTACGAAGCAAAGAAAAAAATGTTTCTCGTATTTTGTAGCGTCCAGCGTCCGTTTGCGACGTGCCAAGAAGGGCTGTTGTTAGCGTATCCACAAAAATTTGGGCTCTTTATAATACGACGACGACGACGATGGTGTGGCGCTGCAGGTGCCCGCGCCGGGGCTTATATCATACGGCGACGCTCGCCGGCGCCTTGCCGACGGAGGCGAGGATCTTGTCGTCGAGGTCGAAGGTCATGGCCTTCTCCCCGCGGCCGCTGGCGGCGTACTCGGCGTACCGCTCCTTGAGGTCCTCCGGCAGGTTGGTGCTGCTCGTCCACCCCAGCGCCTCCTTCGCCGCCCGGGGCTCCGCGTAGAAATGCTGCCGGCGCGCGCAATTCAGTTCAGTCAGCAGCATTAATGGAAACAAATGGAATCACTCGCTTATATTACCATGTTGCGGAACGGGAAGGCCTTCTTGGCGTCGACGCCGGCGGCGGCGGGGTCGTAGAGGACGATATCCACGGCGGCGACGCCCGCGGCCGCCGCGCACAGCTTGGCCATGCCGCTCAGCGTCACGGCGCGGTCCGACACGCAGTTGAAGACCTTGCCCGACGCCGCGCCGGGCTTCTCCACGGCCAGCGACAGCATGCGCGACAGGTCCCGGACGTGCGAGATGTTGGTCAGCTGCATCCCGTTCCCCGGGATCGGCACCGGCCGATTCCGCACGATCCCTGCAATTGGAGATCGTCGTCGGAGAAGATAAGAGAATAGAAAACGACTGAATCGAATCGAGTGACGGGCTGCTGATTGATTATTACTGTCGAAGAACCACTCCTCGCAGTCCTTGTTGTTGCCGGAGCCGATCATGTACTGCGGCCGGAACGACGCCCAGCTGCCGAACTGCTCCGCGATGTACTTCTCCACGCCGACGTGGCCGGCGCTCTCCTTCACGGCGTCCTGCGTGCGCCATTGTTTGTTTGGCAGGGAGGCACTCAGTCAGTCTATACATTCTGATTCTGCTCGTGTGTCACGCTGAGGCTGAGCGCGTGGCCGTGCATTACCCCCTCGACGTGCGGCGGCTCCTCCGTCGGCTTGTAGATGCCGGCGCTGCTGATGAACAGGAACTGCCCCACGCCGGCCGACTTCGCCCAGTCCGCCACCGGCCTGCGTACGCACAGTCACCATCACCATGGAGATTCATTCCTCGAACACCAGGGCCGAAAAGCAGAGGCGCGAGGAGTCTCATACGTACTTGACAGCGTCGAGGTCCTTGCCGTTGTTGTCGAGGACAACGTCGAACGCCGCGCCTCCCACGGCCGCGCCGACGTCCGCCGGGTCACCCCACACCGTCTTCCCGCCGGCGCTCGTCAGCTCCTGCGCCACGAACAAACAAACAGTCCAGTCCAGTCCATCGAAAGCTCGACCAAGATCGAAACCAACCGCCAGCGCCTAATGCAGTGCAGCAGACCGTGCCCGACACCGACGCGGCGGCAGAGGTTACGTACGCACGTACCGAGAAGAGAGAGAACGGGGGCTTCTTCATCTTGTCGGAGCCCTCGTCGCCGACGGTGAGCACGGTGACGGCGTGCCCGGCGGCGAGCAGCTCCTTGGCGAAGTAGAACCCGATGACGGCGTGCCCGCCGCTGTTGGTGCTCACGATCACCACGCTCTTCTTCTTAGCCTCCGCGCGCACCGTGACGCCCGCCCGTCGGGCCGCCGCCGCCGCCGCCGCGCGCCGCCTCCTCCTCGCGGCGACCGCGCGCGGGAACGCGCCAACGAAGGACGGCAGCGACGTCGAGGAGGGGCCCCGCGGCCGCGCGGTGGAGGCCGACAGACGGCTCGACGCGAAGGCCGTGGCTGTGGAGGCCGCGGCGGCGCACAAGGCCATCGCTGGCGGGGTGGCGGGGGAGGAGAGATGACTAGATGAGTGAGCGGGCAGTGATGAGTGGTGCACGCAGGATTGGGTGGGGGATCGTCCATCACACTGTGGAAAAGGAGGAGCATTGGAAGAATAATAAAAGCTTGTGTCATACTCCACAGTATGATAGTCGTAGATGAAAAAGGTGGTGAAATTGGATCATCAATTCGTTTCAAAAAAAAATTGGATCATCAATTGCTCTACCTCCAGAAGTACAAAAGGGTGGTGGCCTAAATTTCTCTGAAATTTTACGTAGAAGAACCGATATCCATCGTCAACCAACGCATACCCAACTGAAAAAGAAGACTTAATTAAACATACTCTGTTTTAAATTATAAGCCGCTTAAATTTTTTTTGGTTCATCTATTTTATTATGTATCTAGACATATTATTATTATATCTAGTTGCATAGTAAAATAAATATAAAAAAAGTTAAAACGACTTATAATTTAGAACAGAGGAAGTATTTGGCAAAAGTTTGCTAATAGGAGAAATAATTAGTGTGCGTGCAATGTCCTCTTTCTTTTACATGTAAGATATAACAATTTATTAGGTTTATTTTTTTTATGTCTCTCATCTAGTTACAACTGTAGGCCCCGTTCGCTCGGAGAAATCTGGTGGAATTTGTGAGAGGAAAAACACTGTTCCGAATGAAAAAAAGAAACGGATCAAGCCGGATTTAAGGGCACGCGAACGGGACCGTAGTATCTGTTCATTAACATACACACCAACACCACACACGTACACCTCACTGACACCCATGTACACAAACATACACTACAACTACAGAGAGACTGCACCGTTAATATGGAAAAAAACGATGGGAATCTGCTCGAACCCACGACCAGCCACTCCTCCATCCACCTGGAGCGTTACCGCTATCCCAATTCATTAGGTTTATTATTGTTTGTCGCACCACATACTGGTCAATTTCTTACAGGTGCCTGTTGGGGGTTCTTCCTCAAGACCTGAGTATCATCGACGGCTGGTTATAAGATGTGGCTAAATAAATTGGTAATCTGTGGATGCTAGATTTATTTCTAAGTCATTAGTGTAATAGCTGCTCATGGTAGTAGCCTTCATTTATGGATCAAGTTTTAGTTGCATTCTTTCCTTATAAGCTTTTTAAGTTTGCGTGTGTCCTTAGTCTATCTGACGACATGTGAACTTGGTTGTAAGAGCCATCATATTTTACCGGCGAACAATATTGAATCAGCCTGATCGCTAGGGCTGGGCTGGCTAGCCAGCCCCCTCACATAGCTACTATTCACGTGAACCAGCCAGCAATACTTTTCTCTCACATAAACGAACCAGCAACGATATGAACCAGCCAACCGAACAGACTGATTATTGTTTATTTACTTCAACTTGTGGACACCTTGTTAGATTTATTTGTGAATATGTCCATTGACCTAAATGTTGCAAGCACATAAATATTAGTTGTGTATCTTTTCTTGCAACTAGCAACACAAGTAGCTACAAAGATGTGTTTAGTGTTGATCACCAAGTTCAGATGCACTTTAGTGACTTAAATAATGATATATTTTTTTTACAGCCAAACTAACAACAAAGCTGTTGTATTACTACAAAGCTGTTGTATTACTTGTCTCTTGTGTTGTCAATTTCGGGGAAGATTTCACTTCAACCAACATAAATCAATCTGGGCCGGTTTCCAAATCGGCCTAGGCCTGTTTTCCAACTTGCTCAAATTGTAAATTAGACTTCGCCATTGTGTTCCTCTCGTTGAGACGATTTGCATATATAGAACATCATTTTTGCGTACCTAAGGTCAGGTTTAAATCCCCTAGAGATTATAGGAATAGGATTCTTTGTAGGATTTCTAGAATCCAGATTTTAGATAATAAAAATATATGATGTTTGGATCTTAGGATTCTAGCTCGGAATTATGGGTGTTACAATGGGTATATTGTCCATAATACCTGGAGCATGATCAAAGAAAGAGGACAAGGTGAGGGCAAAACCGTCTTTTCATGCGTTGGAAGGGAGGAGTATCACATATTATGTAGGTTCGGGTGGACTATGGGATTGTTACAATCTTGGGTTCAGATTTTTTGCATGCCTCAAATTATCCCGAAGCTATGTGGATTTTGTTTATCTGGATAGTAGAATCCGGAGGACTCAAACATCAAACAGACTCTTAGATTTTAGTGGATCTTAACACAGACACCGAATCCAATAAAATACGCCATATTTTCTTATCCGGATTCTAAAAGTCTCCTAGAAACCAAACGGAACCTTCTTATATGATTTTTAGAACCCGCATAAAAAATCTCAAAAAATATAATGAAACATGCTAGTTTTTTTTAATCCGGGTTCTAAAATTCTCCTAGAACCAAACGGGACGGTCCCTTAGCGTAATCCGAGGGAGAGCAGACAGCATTGGACCCACAAGGCCAGCGAAACACGTTTCAGTCACCTCTGTAGCTTGGTAGGCAGTGGGGAGTGGGGACGTGTTACTTTGGCCTTAAGAAACGAAAAAAAGGAAAGAGGAGGACATGGCCCCATGCAACTCGGCAGGCACCAGCTAGCAAACCTCTTTTGTCTTCTCGTAGGTTCTGTTATAAAACATGTCCTCAGCGCTTAGAATATTTTTCTCTTCGTTCCTTACTATCAACATACATAATAGATGATGAAAGTAAAACATATAGATATAAAAAATAGAAAGACTATTCTTTATTTCTCTAAATATATTAATAATTACAACATATAACTCATATATATATATATATATTCCTATCAAAATCTAAAATTTAGAATTTGATAAAAAACTACATACAAATGAATCAGAATTAGGACCGCTCATTCTCCTTCCTTTTAATAGAGTCCGCATGTTTTCAAGAGGCTCCACCAGCATCTGTTTTTTTTTTTCACCAACACCAACCTCTGGTTGTCTGCCGAGTGCCGAGTAGACATGTCTAGGACTACGTGCTATTCTAGAATTGTCTAGTGTCTCCAAGCTGAGGCATAATCTATTTGGCGGCGAGAATTTTAGTTTCCTCAGACTGGACAAAGGAAAGAGAGAGACACAAATGAAAGTTTTAATTATGAAGTTCGACCTCAAGTTAGTTTTCCTCGAACTTTCGCAGCTCTATGATTTTGACGGTTTACACTGATTTTTATTAGGTGTACTTTTTACTTAGGGTGTGTTTGATCCGTTGACTAAAGTTTAGAGATATCACATAAAGGTGTTGTATGGGTATTCGTATACTAATAAAAAATAAATTACAGAATCCGTCAGTAATCCGTGAGACGAATTTATTAAACATAATTAATCTATTATTAGCACATGTTTACTATAGCACCACATTGTCAAATCATGAACTAATTAGGTTTAAAAAATTCATCTCGCAAAACAGTTTCAATTTGTACATTTAGTTTCGTAATTAGTCTATATTTAATACTCTATGCATGTGTCAAACATCCGATGGTACAACAACTAAAATTCTAAAAGATATGCGTGACTTGAAAGCGCGTAACTTTACGCGGAATATTATGACTTTTTTCATGTTGTAAAAAAATTAGGACGATGGATTAAAAGCGATTGGAGAGAAGTTTTTCTCGTCATGTTAAAAGTCAAGGATTAGGAAGGGAATTTTCCTTTTGGTGCCCCCTGCTTTATTCCAAAGCTCAAAAGCATCCAACCTTCCACCCCGAAAGAAAGTCGAAATCAAATCAAAACCACGTTCGCCCATCCATCGCCCGCGCGGCCGCAAACCCCCCGCGCGAAGGAACCCCCGCCGGCCGGGGCCACGACCAAGCGTCCACGCGCGCGCGCTGCCACTGGCGACTGGCGAGAGAGAGAGAGAGAGAGAGAGAGAGAGAGAGAGAGAGTGAGCGATAGGAGGAGGAGCAGGCGCCGCCGCCACCGATGGGGTGCGGGCCGTCCAAGGAGGACGCGGAGGGCGGCGCCGTGTCGCGGTGCCGGGAGCGGAAGCACCTGCTGAGCGCGGCCGTCCACGCGCGCCACGCGCTGGCGGGCGCGCACGCGGGCCTCGCCGCCGCGCTCAAGAACGTCGGCGCCGCGCTCTCCGACTACGCCGTGGGCGAGACCGACCGCCACGACGCCGTCGTCGTGCCGCGCTCCGCCTCCGCCGCGGCCGTGCTCGCCGCCGGACAGGGGACGGCGGCCACGGTGGTCAAGGCGCTGCCGTCCCCGCTCGACGCCGTGCTCCCGCCGCCGCCGCCCCCGGGCGCCTACGGCGACGACGGCGGCGGCGGGCCCGCCGCGCCGCTGCACAGGTCCATGAGCGCGCCTGACATCCAGCCCATCCGGAAGGGCCGCTCCGGGGAGGCGCCCATCATGGAGGAGGAAGAGGGCGAGGGCGGCGACGCCCCCGGCGACGACGCGGGGCGGCGCCGGGAGGACGACGATCCGCCGCCGCCGCCGCCCCCGCCGCCGGCGAACGTTCCCCCGCCCTCGCGCTCCCCGCCGCCTGTCCCTGCCGCGGCGGAGGCGAACCGCGAGCGGGCGACGGCAGCGGGGGATTCGTGGAACGACGTCATCTTCGGCTCCCCCGACGCCATGCCCGCGCCGCCGCCCACGCTGGACCCTAGCGCCAGCGCCGCCGCCGAGTCGTCGTGGGCGGCCGAGCGGAGGATGCCCGCGCCGCCTCCGCCGCCGCCCGAGTCCGACCAACAGCCTCCGAAGCAGCCGCAGCCGGTGCCTTCTGCCGAGGAGATCGCCGAGGGAAAGAAGCCCGCGGCGGAGCTCGTCACGCGCCGGGCGGCGACGCAGAAAGCAGCTAGGAGGATGGAGGGCAAGAAGGGCAGGGTCGTCATGGTGCCGCCGCAGACGGCGAGGCTGGGCGACGTCCTGCGCAAGCTGGACGATCACTTCCTCAAGGCGTCCCAGAGCGCGCACGAGGTGTCCAAGTTGTTGGAGGCAGCGAGGATGCATTATCACTCCAATTTCGCCGAGACGCGAGGTACCTTCCATGCCTGGTCTGCTCCCAGCCTCTAAGCTGAGTTCCAGGAAAGTGAATCCTTTTTAAGTTTCTTTAATTAATATTCTTTCCTGGATGACGATGCACAACAAACATTGCACAACACTTGTACAAACGTCATAGAGCCATAATAAACTTCAAAGCACGGTACACAAGATTCTTAGGAGACGTGCAAGATAGATAGCATATGGTTTATTGGAGGAGTTCAACTGTTCCACACTTCCACATGACAGTCTGATAATATTTTGAGTGCCTTACTTGATTTCATTGTTAATTATTTAAAAGGGATAATATTCTGGCTCTATTATGTGTTCCTATTATGTCTTTGTTGAGGTGGATGTTGTGTTTTTAATAGAATGTGATTCATTGAGGCACAGGGCAATGTTTATTAAGTACGGTTTTCTTGGGGACCGAGATGGGGTTTGGGCTACACTTAGGCGGCGATTATGTGTTCCTATTATGTCTTTGTTTAGGTGGATGTTTTTTTTTCAATGGAATGTGATTCAGTGAGGCACAAGGGAATGTTTATTAAGTACGGTTTTCTTGGGGACCGAGGTGTAGTTGGGGATACAATTAGGCAGTGATTATCTTCACTCTATGATTTCTTTTAAACTTCAGTTGAGCAGTCTTTGAGGGGTACAGCTAAAGTTGGTATATACATGTGGAATAGTCTATAGGAATGGCATATCTATTTAAGTTACTTCAGTTAATGACATATGTCTTTTGTCTTATTAGGATTTGTGGATCATTCTGCAAGAGTGATGCAAGTCATCACTTGGAATCGCTCATTTAAAGGGATCCCTCAACCAGAGAATGTGAAGAATGACTTGGATGATGATAAATGGGAAACACATGCTACCGTACTCGATAAGTTGCTTGCATGGGAGAAAAAACTATGCCATGAAGTGAAGGTAAAATATGTAAATCTTATTCAGTAGTTTAGAACATAAACTGTCTCAATCGTTCTCTCTTAGAAGCACACATTTTTCAATATGTTCTCTCTCACCACAAAGAAAGAATGATTTATGTTGTTTATTGGTTTCTCATACATTTTCTCTTGCATTTTATTTGCGTTGATATCAAGAACCATGCATACATGTCATTACATTTTCGCAAAAAATTGATGAAGGTGTCTCAGTTATTTTACCTTTGATAATTGTTTGTCACCTTCTCATCATTATACTCCTCAACTGGTCCAGGGACATTTGTAGTCATATTATTGTTAAGTCAGGACCCTTATACTAGTCCATGATCATTTCCTACCCATGTGCTGGGCCTCATCATTATACTTCATTGCTTTAACCTTGTTTGTTCATACATTTGATGATACATATTTACCGTTGTCACAGGAGTTCGAGGTTATCAAAGTGACATATCAACGAAAGCTAGCTGTTCTTAACAAAAAGAAGCAACGTGGTGTTAGTTCTTCATCAATTGAGAAAACCAAGTCCATTGTTAGTCACTTGCACACAAAATATATAGTTGATTTACAAACAATGGAGTCAACAGTTGCAGAAATTGACCGCCTAAGAGATCAACAGCTTTACCCAAAACTCCTTGAACTAGTGAAGGGGTAAGGCCTTTTAACTTTTAAGTACCAACCACCAACCTCTATTGTTCCATTTATTATATATGGTTTCCTTGTAGCTATCATCTCATTGTTTTAGTTATTTACATGTAGGACCTTCATTTCTTTTTTCACTGTTTAGTCGATTACAACAAGTGTTTCCCTGCTAGCTTGATATATATCATCAAATGACATTGTTATCTTTTTTTTATTATAGAAAGATGTTCTTTTATATAAATCACTATTCCCTCCATTTTTTCACAAGGCGTATTATATTTCGTTAGGACTAGGCTTTGATTGGCAATTACTCTATTGGTACTTCATTCATATGACGCAAAAATTAGTCATAAATGTTTTTTATTACGAATCTAAGAACATCAATTTTGTGTCTCAAAAATTTGCATGACTATTGTTGGTGAAAGGTTTGCCCTAACAAAGCAAATTAAGCCTTGTAATTTGAAATGGAGGGAGCATCTGAAGAAGTGCTATACATCTTTCATAGTGTACCTTCCACATATTTTCTCAGCATGATTTTAGTTATGGAAATATTCTGCTAGTTGTGACACTGAAAAGTTGGACTTGGGCCACCCAACATCAGTCTAACACTCTATTATGTACTATGGAAACCATGCCAACTATGCCTGTCCCTCTGGCATTTTGGGATTTTTCTAAATCTAATGGAAGAACCAGATTACCAAGTGAATGTTGCACTTCTGCTTTTTTAAGTAACGAATTATTTTGTTTCACACTGACAGATTGTCACACATGTGGGATGTCATGTACGCTCACCACAAAGCGCAGCTCAGGATCATTACAGAGCTCAAAGCGTCTGATATCTCGGTTACTACACGGGAAACAAGTGAGCAACACCATGACCGAACTTTGCAGTTGCGGAGCATTGTTCAGGAGTGGCATGTGCAGTTTGACAGGTTCATGACATATCAGAAGGAGTACATAGGAAGTCTCTACAGCTGGATCAAGCTAAATGTGATCCCTATTGATACTAACCTGAAGCCTAATTCGTCACAGCCACATGAGACCACACCTCCAATCAAGAGGTTGCTGCATGCTTGGCATGGTAGCCTTGAGAAGCTCCCTGTTAATGAAACGAAAAAGGCTATACACACATTTGCAGAAGTGGTGAACACAATCCTAGTTCACCAGGATGAAAAACTGAAGTTGAGGATGAAAATTGATGAGACTAGGAGGGACTTTGAGAAGAAGAGAAGGCAGTTCGATGATTGGGCACAGAAAAATTGGGACAGAGGAGCAAGTATTCCTGATGGCGACAATCCCGCACGTGCTGATCCAGCAGCTGAACGGAAAGCCGTGGTAGATAAGGTGGAGAATGCACTGAAGGACCTGGAAGATAGTTATAAGACCCAGTGTAAGGTAGTAAGGGATAAATCCCTCAATCTTCTCCGGTCAAACTTGCCGGAGCTGTTCCGCGCCGTGTCGGACTTCTCCCTCCAGTCCGCGGGTTGTTTCAAGGGCCTGTGGTCGATCGCGCAAACAAATGACCAGCTGGATGATTGAGTGCTGGGTGCATTCTGTGTTTTGTTGTGGTGACTGACTATAGTGTGTATATGTTGAATAGCTTGATGTGTTGTTTAATGTGCCAGTTTTGAGTTGTAGCTGTGCAAAGGGTGAGCGAAGACGGAGGGCTCTGGTTCTTTTACAGCTATGGCTGTTGTAAATGCACAATGTAAGGGTATGGAAGGTGTGTATAATGTTGGAAAAGAGAATCACGATTTTGTTTCAAATTTCACGAGCTTTCATAGGTTCAAATCCTGATTGATTACAAGGAATCGGTTGCTTTGCATATTAACTTTGTTTTTATTCATGGGCTTGTTCGCTTGAACTTATCAGTCAGAATCTATAATATTTTTCTCTCTCAACAAAACAGCTTCAGTCAGCTTTAATACCAGCCGAACAGGCCCACTGGCTAGTTTGATGGTATTGGGAGGAGCGCATGTAGCCATGTCCTGATAATGTAGGTTTTGGCTAAACCTCGTCAACAAATATCGTGTCTTTAGTGTTATCCATGTGATCTTGCATGTTCGCCTCAGTAGCTCTAATCGATGTTTCTCCTGACCTTCCCACCTTCTCTCTAACAAGACTTTTCTCTTCCCCATTCGTCCTTTTGCCTAGGAGGTGGAGGGGTTTCAACCCTTTGAAAAGCTTCCATCAACCTTTTCCTCCAGGAGTGGTCGCATGACCTTTAGAGATCCTTTCAATGTTATTGGAACTCCTAAAAGAATCTTAAGAGGTCATCTTCAAACTTTCCTCTAAGCTTTAAGGGTGCTTGCCAATGAAGCTCTCGAAGAAGCTACACTCTGGAGGATTCCTACCAACAAGAGGCCTCATTCTCTCCCTCTCCCCCTTAGAATTAGCTAGTTGGCACAAGGACCCTTCGTGAAGTTGACGCATTGCCTAATATACAGCTAGGTCCTGTTTCTGTGACTAGAGATCTCTAATGATCCTGAGACAAATGAGTGGCTAATGTCTGTGAAGTGGCTGAGTGGCAAGTACAACATATACACAAATGGTGAGACAGGTGGATAACCATCGAAATGGTTGGGGGTGCCTATGACCGTGAAGGAGAGCAAGTGACATGGTCGTTTCTCTTTTAGCCGTGCATGGGTGTAGACACGGCAAAAATCTTATTTTACACATTTACTAGCTAATATTAGCTGGGCTTGATTAGCTAATGAATTAACATTAGTCGAATACCTTCTTAATAGTTAATAGCTCTATTAACTGGCATGTTTGGATTCACTTTTTTTTTCCAGCTAGCCCATGCAGTCAGTTGGAACTTGCAAAACACTAGCCTAGAATCAAATGGAGGCCTAATTTTGTGGGTAGATCTAGACAACCCATCCCAGGTCCTTAGTTGAGTTCCAAAGCAGCCAAAAAAACATTACTGTAGGAGTAATAAAGTAAACTCGGACAGTATGAAAAGCAAAATGGCCAATATACATTTTTTTACTAAGAAAAACCAAGCGAAGCAATTGCAAAGAAACAACAAGCAGCCTGTTTGGTTGACTGGTTCATATCGTTGCTGATTCGTTTATTTAAGAGAGAAGTACTACTAATTGGTTTATGTGAATAGTATCCATGTGAGGGGCTGACCAGCCAGCTCAGCCAGCCAACCCCAGCCGATCGAGCTGAAGATAACTGTCAAACTTACCAACCGCACAGGTGACAGGACAGGACAACCAGTGTGGCGGTGTCCAGTGGCAATCATTCAGCCGAGTAAACATCACCCCTGTAGCCTGTTTTCCCATTCTAAACTTTAGAGCCCCTTTGGTCGGGCTCCGAGCGGCTTTGGCTCCTCGGACTCCTCTCTATTCATCTCCTGTAGCGACACTATTCACCGAGTTGTTTTTATCTCTCATCCTTTCCTCTCTCACTGACAGCGCCAAAGCCGGAGAAGCTCGTTTTTTTTTTCCTCCTCTGGCTCCAGCTCCTGCGCGCTACAGTTGCGCTACAGGGTGAGAGCCAGAGCCAGCGGGAGCCCGACCAAACGCGCCCTTAGTCCACGTTACATCGGATATTTAATAAATACATAGAGTATTAAATATAGACTAATTACAAAACTAAATGCACAGATTAAGACTAATTTGCGAGACAAAACTAAACGATTTTACAATGTGGCGCTTCGGTAAACATAGGCTAATGATAGATTAATTAGGTTTAATAAATTTGTCTCACAGATTACTGATAACCTATGTAATTTATTATTTTATTTTATTATTATTATCCGAAGACTTGATGTGACACCCCATACGACATCCGATACGACCCTTAACGTTTATTCCCTGTATTTAAACACCACTAATCAAATTTCTTTCTACTCCTATAGGAAAAATATATTTTTTTAATCCGTTTCCATCATCGTCTCGATCGACACCAGCTCGATCCAACAAGCCCAGAAAGTCGCAGCCCGCAGCCGCCAACCACCCGACCCCACATCCGCGATGCCCACGCCGTGAGCCCGTGAGGCGCGCCGCTGCAGCCGCCGCCACCGCCACCGCAGCCGCAGCCGTTACTATGACCTCGCCGGCCCCGACCTCCTGGTTCTCCGGCCTCGCGCGCTCCTCCTCCTCCACCATGGCCGGCGGTGTCGCCTCCGCCCCCGCCTCCGCGTCCGCGTCCCTCCCCGACGCGCCCAAGTCCGTCGTGGTCGGCGCCGGCCCCGGAGGAGGCAAGCGGAATCAGCTCCGCGGGGCGCTGTTCAAGTACGGCCCCAAATCCGCGCAGGTACGTACGGGCTTCCCCCACCTCCCCCTCCCCCCTCGCGCCGCCGCCGCCGCTCGCGGCTACGAGCTGGAGATCGTTGGTTCGATGCCTGGATTTAGGCAGTTTGTAGGCGAGGTTTTCCCCGTCACAGCATTTCGCGGTTGCTTTCGCCGAGTGCTCTATAAGCTGCTAGACGGGGAAATTCCGTGGGTGGGAATGGGATGTTCTGGAAGCTTCCAGAAGGTCGCCCGCGTGCTGCCACGGCCTCTGGAAGGAGGGGATCTTTTGCGACATTCCAGATGCGGGATCTCCCTTTTCAGTTGCGGAATTCTGCTTTTTTAGCAAGTGGGGCTCCAGGCTCCTACGTTTTCTCATGCATGTCTAAAGCGTGCCTCGGTGCATGTTTAGATTCCTATATAGATATGGAAGATTCTATGATGTTCAACAACTCGGAAAAAAGGTGGCTATTTTGCATTTAGGGATATGGTTTGGCAATTTGCTGTTTGGATTTGGGGTTTAATTCTCCTTTGGTAATGTTACACGGCTATGTCCCTTTTGCTGCTTGTCTCGTAGTTTCTGTAACATTTCCATCCGGCTGAGGAAAGCCTACTTTTAGTTGTTGACCCTATAGGCAGTGGCAGTGAGTGGTGGTCCTTACGCACCATGGTTATTCTTGTGGTTAATTTGCTTGCTTCCTCTCTTGCTTTTCACCATGAAATTTTGTAACCATGCTCAGTTTTCACTTTCCAGCAGATTCTGGCTTGCCATTATCAGCGTCTGTTATAGGTTTTATTGGTGCTTATATTTTCTGGCAGAAAACTGTATTTTAATTAATTATTTGTTGTTACAGTGAGGGCTATACTAAGTCACGTATGCTTCTGGCAATTTTGCTACTTTTGGACTTGGGACACCTGTAATGCCATTTGCAACCCCAATAAGATCAATTGTTTCTTAGCTTTTATAGAACATAAGCATGACAAGCATACCCACTAGATCTGACTGCAGTATTCTTGGGAAGCTTATTCTGCAGGGAAACACCTTGTATTATGTTCTTTTGATCTGGATACATTTGCAACCCTTGAAAGTTATGGTACATATGCCTCTATGTTTGGTTCTTTTGAGTGCTGTGTGGTTTCTTTAATATCGATTTTTTAAAAATCTAGAGCAAACCCCTTCTATACATAAACTAACTTCTTTTTGGATACATTTTGCTAGTGGTGCATTACTAATAGCTTTGTGCAATAACTTCACTTTTCCTCTGTCAGGTAGCATTCAGGACTGGTGATTTTAACCATCAGGTGATCTTCATTGGTGGCCTCACAGATGGGCTTTTAGCTACTGAGTAAGTCAAAATAGCCTTTTTTGCACCCCCTCCTCCCCTGATAATTGAGATTGCACTAAATTTGGTCATAATATATCAATTTAACATCTATTGAATTTGGAAATAAAGGCTGTCATGATCTAACTATGTTACATCATGGTTTATATCCATAAATAAGGTAAATGTGAAATGGGCAATGGGTTTTTCTCTTGAATGAGAACTGAAGAATTTTATGTATCATGCCAACATATTCTGGTATTCTTGCATCCTTTGCTGTTTCTTGGGTCTTACAATTAACTTCATAGTAATAGTACCAAATCAATTTCAAAGCTATGGAATTTAGGCTAGTAGCGTTGGTACCATGCGCACACACGAGTAACAACCTTGTTCATCTAGGTGATGATACTACCTTATAGTTGAAAATTTGATTCTTGTAATGTTTCTATGGCTAAGCGCTTTCCATCATTGCGAGAACTTAAATAATGCTTATAAAAACGATTTGCAGAGAAGTAAATGTAACTTTTGAATCTTTTCATCTTTATAAGGCCTATGCTTGGTTGGTTACCTTGCAAAACTGGCCTAATCTGAATCATGCCTTGTGAAAACCAAATAGATTGATTCTTTGAAAATTTAGCTATGACTCTCTGGATGCAACATATGCTCAGAGTGTTACAAATTTCCAGCATCACTCTGGGCATGTTTCATTAAGCTCATAATGATACTTGTCAACATTTGATAAAAATGTTAATGGAGAGATTAAATCAAAATATTAAGATGTGAGATAACTTCAAAGCCAATGCATCTTATTGCTCTTCTGTAAATATACTTTTGATGCATACCTTCTGTTTTTGGTATTGTTAATTTATATTTAAATTTAATTTCATTTCACTACTGCTAACTGATTTTTGAAAACCTACAGTTACTTGGAACCATTGTCACTTGCATTGGAAGTTGAGAAATGGTCCTTGGTACA